GAAGGAGCTCAACACTCAGGCTCTGTGGAGGGGTGAGAGGAGGGAACAGCTGACCTTCCGCTATAACGTGTTCTCCGATTAATGGCGGGGATGCAAGATTGGAGGCGACGTTGGCTTCTCGTGGTCGTGTCCAAAGACTCCCTCCCTCCCATGACTGCCCCTGCCGACTGCGGCACCCCTGCTTGTTAAACACTAAGGAAAGCCAGCAGCATCTCCAGGACAGATGACCAGTTAAATTCCCTTCCACACTGCCCAGGGATATAACACAGGCTTTGAGCCGGGTGCCACAATGCAATCATCCCTGCTGGGTGTGGGGATGGTGGCTGGGTGCGGGGACCCTGCTGGGTGTGGGGATGGTGGCTGGGTGCAGGGACCCTGCTGGGTGTGGGGATGGTGGCTGGGTGCGGGGACTCTGCTGGGTGTGGGGATCGTGGTTGGGTGCAGAGACCCTGCTGGGTGTGGGACTGGTGGCTGGGTGCAGGGACCCTGCTGGGTGTGGGGATGGTGGCTGGGTGCAGGGATGGTGGCTGGGTGCGGGGACCCTGCTGGGTGTGGGGATAGTGGCTTCAGAGAGCAATGCTTTCAGGTCACAGCTCTCCAAGGCTCCTGCCCACCCTTGCCAGGGCATGAAAAGGGTTCCCTGCCAGCTTTGAGCATGGTTTCAAAAAGCCAAACACCTGGGCTTCACTGGTGAAAGCAAAACAAGACCCGAGAGCGAAGCCTGGTTGCTTAACTGTGATAACGCCTCTTTCTTGCATCTTCCCCGGCGTGTCATGAAGGTCAGCAAAGTGCACCGCCACCTGGTGGTAGATGGGCAAGAGCAGCTCCTCTCGGGCCCTCAGCTGCTTCTCCAGCTCCTTGCGCTCCGGTTCGGAGAGCGTAGGGGTCCCTGAACATCCCAGGAAACAAAAAAAGGCACTTATCAGTCAGAAGCTGGGTTCAATTCGCTGCAAACTAGGGAGCAAGATAACAGCACATCTCAGGCTACGCAGGAGTGGCTTGAAAGTTCAGCACGGATATTATTTACTTGTCTATTTTTTCTCGAGAGCGCTCGTCTCAAGCTTTAAGCAAAACAACATCAATCGGAGGACAAGTGAAAAGGAAGAAACTCTTTCCTTACCCAACTGTTCAACAAGTCTGCCGTAAACTGCATCAAGTCTTCTCATAGTCTTTACCAAATCTTTCCTTCGGTACTTAATTTCCACGGTTCCCTCAGCTTCTAAAATGCCTCCCCTAAGTACAAGGTGGTTTTGGAAAGGTCACGGTTAGTCTCGTGGAGAGATTTTCAGAGGAACAAACAAGTCATGGGAAATCTTCCCAGCTTCGCATTATTTTTTTTGGAAGAATTTGTTTCTTCTGAGGAAGATCAGGGACACAGGAAAACTACCAGACTTTCCCTTCAAAAACCTGTGGGATTTCTGCAGAGGTTTTCTTTCAAGTATGCTTTGCTACTTCTCTCTCAGGCCCATGATTTTTTTACCCAGGATAAAAGGGGATAATAAAAATATTCGAATTCAGCCTATTCTTTCCCTGTTCCCCATGGCTTGCCGGGAAGGATTTATCCAAGAAGAGATCATCGTTCTCAGATTGAGGCATCTGCTATGAAGGACACATGCACACTATGTGGGATGGGAGGCCACATGTTGGGTCCATCACCTCTTTCAACCCTTGCAAGGCCAGGCAAGGCTGGCCTACCAGGGTCAGCCGAAGGCTGACTTGGAACTCATAAGGAAAATGCCAGAATAGGTGGCAGGAAACCAAGGGGAAAAGGAGAAGCACTGCTCACCTGCTCTCCTTGTCGGCATAAAGCTCCATGTACAGAGGGTTGATAGTCGGGTCGAGCACCCCCCAAGACCCTCCTCTGAGCTCACCATGCGGGGGGATGTAGATAAGGACAGGCTGCTTGAACTGTCTGACGCAGTCGACAATGTGAGCCCCAAACTTCAGTATTTGATCGTACATGTCTGCAAAACCAACGCGCAGCTGTAATGAGCCCTTCCTGGCAATGCATCCCTGTCTGTGGGGCTGACCGTGGCTTGGGACACACATACCCAAGAGCAGTGCCAGGTCACCACTCCTCACCCCAGATCTCACCTCTGGCAGGCCTCACCTCACAGCAAACCAATGGCATGTCCTTCACAGCCAGTGGTTAAAGCTGCCAGACTTACCTAAAGTGACCCATGGTGCTTCCCTCCCTCACAGAGGCAATGGGAGCTGCCTCTGCAGGGAAAAGACGGGTCCAAAAAGACCACCCCCAGACCAGCAATTGAAATCACTTCCCTCCACACTGCAGGGGAATTTCTTGGTGGGGCACCACGCCATCAGCATCCCCTCAAGGGACATGGATCCCAGAGGGCCTGGCCATCTTGCAAAGGGGTCCCACATGGCTGGTCTGTCATTTCTCCTGTCCAGAGACCTCTGACCTGAGCGGGAATCACCTTTCATGCCGCCAGCGAACCCCCGCCAGTTTCCAAAGATCAGGAGGGGGAGGTGCTCTCGGTTGAAGTCTTTCATAGCCTGGGTAGTTTTGAAGGAGGAATCCGAGAACCAGACTTGCCCGGCTTGCTGGACTATCTGAAAGAGAGCGGGCAGGAGGGTTCTGGTTGCACCTCACAGCTCTGGGAAGTCAGATACTAGTGAGATGGCTGATGGCTCTGGCAACCTTGCAAGCCCTGTGCAAAGTGGCCCGATGACCCGGATTTCTTTCCGCACGGCCCCAGCAACAGTGCAGAGGCTCATGATGATTACCTCACGTACCTTTACTTCGGAGTCCAGGTTGGCCGGGTCAGCGGGTATCGTAAGCTCTACACTCCGGGTCTCCACAGCAATCACACCGACGGGAATCCCTCCCAGCCTGCAGAGACCAGCAGTCAGGTCAGGTGCTGGAGCAGAGAGGAGCTTTCGCCTGTGCCAAGCTGAGGTCTTCCACAAGACTCAGAGTACGTCCAGCTCAGCCCTTCCCTCCTCCCCCCGTGGTGTAGGAAAGTCACTCCACAGATACCCTTGAGTTTGTTCCCAGGAGGCCTTCAGCTCCAGGCAGGACCCCTGCCATCGACAGTGCTGCCTGGCTGCATGCCAGCTGTCCTGCATGTGGGTAACTTGGCAATCGATCCCAGCTTGCCTCACAGCATCAACAACCCTAGAGGTTGGAGCCAGGCCAATTCCACCAGGATGCTGCTCTCAGCGAGTGCACGGGTCTAGGGAGAAACTGCGCCGGGCTGGTACCTTGCTCTGCCAGTGACGACAGTCTGTGCCCAGGGCTTCATGATCTCCATGAACGAGCCGTGATCAAAGAAGCCGCTCTGCCAGGTCCCCTTGACTGCTGCCAAATCAGAGAATGCCAGTCAGGCCGTTCTGCCCAGCAGTTTCATAGATTTCATAGACATTAGGGCTGGAAGGGACCTCGGAAGATCATCGAGTCCAGCCCCCTGCCCAAAGGGCAGGGAGTCAGCTGGGGTCATAGGATCCCAGCAAGATAAGCATCCAGTTTCATCTTGAAGGTGCTCAATGAAGGCACTTGAACCACCTCCGGTGGCAGGCTGTTCCAGACCTTGGGGGCTCGGACAGTAAAGAAATTCTTCCTTATGTCCAGCCTCAAACGGTCTTGTAGTAGTTTATGACCATTCGACCTAGTCGTCATCCCTTGGGGCGCTCTGGTGAACAAACGTTCCCCCAGATACTGGTGGTCACCCCTGATAAACTTATAGGTGGCCATCAGATCACCCCTGAGCCTGCGCTTTTCCAGGCTAAAGAGCCCCAGGGCTCTCAGCCTGTCATCGTAGGGTCTGCTTCCCTGACCTCTGATCATGCGCGTGGCTCTTCTCTGGACTCTCTCAAGCTTCTCCACATCCTTTTTGAATTGTGGAGCCCAAAACTGGAAGCA